CAACTTTAAGACTTGTGGACTTCAACTCCCAGAGTTCCTCAGCCAGCAAAAGCTGGCTGAGGAACTCTGGGAGTTGACGTCCACAAGTCTTAAAGTTGCCAAGGTTGGAGACCCCTGATGTAGAGTCTTCCTGACTTACTGAATCCAATAGGGAGAGCAAGTTCAAGTTCACTCTTGAAAGAAATGGGGACTGAGAAGGGTAGGAGGCTGGGATACAGGGAGTGACTTTCTCTGTAGTATAGTCCCCTGTGGGATTCATTTTTTTCACTACAGGTTCTGTGGGCGTGGCTTGGTGGGCATGGCAGGGGAAGGACACTGTAAAATCTCCAATCAGAGGTGGCATTTGCCGGTTCTCCGAACTACTCAAAATGTCCGCTACTGGTTCTCCAGAACTGGTCAGAACCTGCTGAATACCCACTTCTGGTCCCCTGTCTCTGGAACAGCTCCCCCCACTCCCCCTCTAAGATTAGAGGTTACCTACTTTGAAGATGATAAAAACACTTTTATAGAGCATTTAGACTCACTTCGGTTTGTTTGTAATTATTAGTAATTTTCATTATTTATTGAACATATGAATGGATTTTATTATTTTATTGATGTTTAATCTTCTATGCTGTAAACCAGGTGGAAGCGGAAGAATTAGCGGCTATATATTTTGGTAAATAAACGAGCTAAATAAATACAGGGACATAAACTAAATTAATATTTGGTTTAAGTGCTAATCAACAAGTCTGAATCATAGCAGCTAACTCTATTAGTGATAAGGAGATTAACCACCAAATCTGAGTGAAGTTGCTTATTAGTTGCGCATGACAAATTTTGCATTAGCTTTTGTTTATTTATAAATCAAATTTATAGGCTGCTCAACTCACAGCGACTCTTATGTGATTTGAAGAGCCCAGCAGTGACTACAAAATGCAGTTTATTTTGATAGGTTTCCAGTATTTCAGACCGAGAAAAGCTTATGGCAAATACAGAATCAGCATAACTATTTTTATCTAATAAATATTTATATCAGTTGGAAAGAATGTGATCATCTTTAGTGAGATGGCTGAATCTCATAACCAGAGCAGTGGTTGTAACTCATAATACCCAAATCAGTGTGAATGACATTATGGCTTGGTTTTAGCTTATTATCAGGGGGAACTTTAAATTCTCTACAGGTAAAGAGTTGAATCTAAGGCAGATTTTTTTGTTTTGCCGCACATCACAACAACACTGATTTACACCATGAAGAAAATCCTAATAATCTCTTAAGAACATCAGTGAAGCTATGAGATGGGATGGATAAAAGGTGACTCATATTCAGAAGTCTTCTGTTCTAAGGCTTGTATCCTTAATCTATTTTTACAGAACCGAACCAGCGGCATGCCATCAGTATCTTTCCTGCTAGGAAAGTATTGCTGTCAAGTATCCATATCAGTAGGCATAATCACTGAAATGTACCAGACAGCATATCCCATCATTTCTATGCCAAGAGAGTAAATAGAACCATAAACATAACCAAATCATTATAGCTGTGACACCATCTCTGGTATGCATAATAAGCAGGTCGTTTTCAGTGATCATATATGTTTACCTTGTTTATGCATCTCAAAATGCTTGGTATCTCTCTTCAGTTTAGGTTGTGGTTGTTTTTTTTACTTTTTCCATTAAGAATTACTGGTAAATATCAACGAATGAGAAGTGTTGACATGCGATGAAAGGAATAAGATATCTGTAACACCATCAAATGTCAACGTCTGCCCATCCCACGGGTCCAAGGGAAGGCCGCAGTAGGTGGACAAAAATGACAAATCCTTTCTGAATATCTGGCTGGCTGTGTGATGAAAAACAATACCGTCTTTCTACAGATCCTTCGCTGTCTGTGGAGTTGGATGCATATATGGTGGAGGGGGGGCAGGCTGTCCTAAAAGCATGAGCACCTGTATTAGTTGAGGCAGCAACAGGGTGACTACATGTGATAGCTGCAGTGGCTTTTATTTTTGTTACAGAGCAGTTCAACATGTAGTTGATCAAAGATCACTAAACAGCTGCTGTCATTTTGATGACATTGAAAAAAGGTGAAATCTTGTTTCACAGAGCTTTCATTTTAGATGCTGATGGACCCAGTGGAGGAAGGACACTGGGCAAATTAAATTCAAGGATTGACATAAAGTGTGCAATTTTTGGGAAATCACACCACTAAATATCAGCATCACCCTATAACTATATTTTTTTCAACGATACAGGGATGCTGCAATGCTTTGGCACATAGGGAGCTCTATATCTGATCCACTTGTGTTGCATTCAGAGCCTTCTCTAGTGTCCTGTTTTGAGGAATGCAGGTAGTCCTTGACTTACAACAGTTCATTTAGTGACTGTTCAAGGTTACAATGGCACTGAAAAAACCATTTGACCATTTTTCATACTTATGACCATTGCAGCATTCCCATTCATCAAAATTTGGATGCTTGGCAACTGGTTTATATTTATGATGGTTGCAGTGTCCTGAGATCACGTGATCCCTTTTTGCAACGTTCTGACAAGCAAAGTCAACGAGGAAGCCAGGTTCACTTAACAACTGTGTTACTAACTTAACAACTCCACTGATCCACTTAACAGCCGTGGCAACCAAAGTCGTAAAATGGAACAAAACTCATTTAGCAAATCACTGAGCAACATAAATTTTGGGCTCAATTGTGATCGTAAGTTGAGGACTACCTGTACCAAGCAATATTCTAGCTATCGGTGCTTCTGAATACACCCCACAAAGACCACAAACTCTTTCCCTGCAGGATGTAAATTCTGATTCTTCAGCGCCTGCTCTAATGCCATTGCTACCTCGCCAGTTTCTAATCGTTCTGTTTCTGTCACCCAACACAGATGCTCAACAAAGTGCCACCGTGCCCATTCCTGTGCCTGGCTCTGGCTCTGACCTTCTCCCCCACTTCCTGCTGGAACCTGATGATGTTTATATTGTCAAAAACAAACCTGTGACGTTGACATGCAAGGCCCTGCCTGCCACCCAGATTTACTTCAAATGCAATGGTGAATGGGTGCACCAAGGGGACCACATCGTACAGCGCAGCAAGGATAAGAGCACTGGTGAGCGCTGAAAGGGCATTGAGACAGCCTATCAAAGAGAAGGAAAAGGATAGTTAGGTGGGACCTATAAACACTGAGCTGAGTAACATAAGGAAATCTGTTGGGTATCAGCATATGTTAAATTTAGCAGCTTCCCTTGTTTTCTGCACATGTATTGCACTTCTGCAGAGTTGTGATGTGTCTCTAACTCTGTTTGGAGCCCCTGTAACCAATTAAATGTTCTTTCTAATTTTTTTTTTTTAACTGCTTGATGTTTCGGCAGGCCTTCCCCTCATGGAGGTACGGATAGATATCTCAAGGCAGCAAGTGGAGAAGATCTTTGGTTTGGAAGAGTACTGGTGTCAGTGTGTGGCCTGGAGTTCCTCCGGGACCACCAAAAGCCAGAAGGCCTTTGTGCGCATTGCGTGTGAGTGATTTCTCTTATCGGCAGCCATTCGCCTCAGTTCTGGTGCTTCCCATCCATTTGCCAGCAGGCTCTTTGGCTCCAGTGAGGGAGAGTCATGGCACAAGTGCTGTGTGTGTGTGTGTGCACTAAGAATCACAGGTGCAACAGTGGCATTGTCGGGGACCAGAGGAGTCTGTGCCACTGAAGAAGCCGCCTGGCAT